GCTCTGACAGACTTGGTGGGGTTTTAGTTGCTGGTTCTAACAGTTCTCCACCAACTGTATACAGTATGACAGATAGCTCCTATTGTTGATCGGGCGATAAGCCCAAATCCTTTTTTTTTTTTTTTTGCCACATAAAAGACAAGAGGTTTCAGTCTTCATTACATTTGTATAATTGCAAAACACTATTAGATAAGCCCAGATACTCATACCATAAGAAATGCAAATTTTTCCTTCCTCCCTTCCATCCATACATGAGCAAGTATTTTACTGGTGCAAAAATGTGCAATTGCATTGCTGAACCTGACATTAAAAAGGAACAAAAGGACATGGGACAGAAACAGTTCATGCTCTCAAGTATCTGTCAGCCCAATCACTTGTCCCCAAATTGAGCTGATGTCAGATGGATGGATGGATGGATGGATGGATGGATGGATGGATGGATGGATAATTTTTCCAGAGTAATCACTGAAAATCATATTGCTGTAATCTGTCAGTGCAATCTAAATTGGGGAAGGGCTCTGGGCTGAGGACAGCGCATCACATATGGACTGTGTGTTTCCCACTTCTGGTTTACAACCATGTTTGTAGAATATTCAGTTTTGCATTGCAGTGTTTTTATATGTGGCAATAGTGGTCTGAAACGGGATGCTTGCAGACCTGCAGAAGGATGATTAATGCAGCATTCTCAGCAGATGATTGGCCATTACACCACTGGTGGAGTCTTTAGTATCTGCAGATTCCCAGAGTCACAGCTTTGTCCCAGGTACACATATGACACAGCTCTGAGTACACATCTTTGAGGATGTGCTTTCTCTTTCCCTTTAAAATCAGTTGGAAATTTGACATTCTATTTGTATTTTACAGTACCTCTTTAAGCTGAGCCTGGCTGGGACGCCTTCTGCATCAAAAGGATGCTGTTTCTCCATTAAAAAGGGGATTCAGTGGTGGGTCAGGTAATGGAAGAATTTAGAGGAGAGGAATCTGTCTGCACGCCAACTGGCCTACTGTGCCTGGACTTGCTACCGAGAGCCATTAAGGCAATGACCAGATATTGGGGG